TTACGTCACGTACGATCGTTCAACGACGGACCGTGTATCGATGCGTTGAAGAATCAAACCCTAGAAAGGAGAGGGAGGGGAGTGGGGGACCCTATATTATAAATCATCTACCTTGTCCTCACTCAACGATCTCTGGTTGATGAACGAGCCACGATAATGCTTGTTTAATCCACGTGACGCGCGAGAGGGTAGACACCGGCACGTACTTACATACATATGAATCCACCTCCCCGATCCTCAGCTTGATCAACAATAGAAGGTAAAAACGGCCGTCCTAGATAACGAAATCGATCGGTTTTCATTCGATCTGCGCGCAAGACGACCAGCCAGTGTTCACCTGAACGCGGCGGCGACGATGGTCGCCAAGGTGGCGAGGGTGAGGATCGTCGGTATCGACTTGGTCGAGGAACTTGCGCCCGTTGGTCCGTCACTGCTTCGTGACACTTTGCTGCGCACCAATTGTCCACGTTCCACCGCGTTCGTCTCGTCACTGTCCGGGTCCACGGGTGCACCTATGTCCTCGTCCTCGCTCAGCATCAACGACAATTTGTTCCTGAGAGGTTTCTTCGAGCACGGAAGGGCAACCTCCTCGTACGGCCTCAGGATCCTTGGATAATGGACTTCCAGGCTGTCCATGCCGGCCAGTTCCCCCTTGTTCGTCCAGCAAAGAGGTTTAAAGGTGCCGCCCCGGGTAGCTTCCTGGAAGCTCTGGAAACTGCTCTCCCAGTCGTAGCTGAGCAAACGTTCCTCCAACGTCATGCCGGCCAACTTTTGCGGTTCTTGAATCTTTACCGGGCTGGAACCCCTGTAACGAGAAAGAGGAAGGATGCCACCGTGAAAGATCTCGTTCGACCTATATATATATATATTCATCGTGAAGAAGTTAGGGACGGATGCGCTCTCGTGACCCGCATCGCGAATGCACGTTCGTTTGCGGAAACAAAGCTCGTTGCCAAAGCTTTTTGGAGAGATGCGGGGAATGCACGTTGTGCATGCATTTTCTTTCTTGGACGAGAAATTTTCTTGGCGAACGTTTTCTCGAAGGTGCTGGTGCGAAGGTACGTAAAAATAAAAGAGAGCTTGCTATAAAGCATTTTATATAACAGGACACTCGACTCTTTGGGATATTTTTTAACACTTACAAGTGACGGAAAAAGAATTTAAGGAAAAAATAAGAAAAGGAGGAAAAGAAAGTAATTCGAATAATTGTTGCAGCTCTCTGGAACGACTTGGGAGGAGGAGAGGATACGTAGAGGATGTCGTTGTAATTATAACAAGATGATCGTTGAAGTATTTAGAGGGTAATTAGTTTGATGGTTCGGTAACAACGAGTCGGGACAATGGATGGGTAACAGGTGTACGGTTATTGAAATATAGAGGCGTTGCTCGCATCCCTCTTCGACCGATGCGGCAATTTAACCGCGATGTCACGCGAAGATGACAATGATCTCTGGCCGGAGTTAACGACCCAACTAGGCAACGACCTGCCGATATTAGTGGTAGTAATAACAGTAATTTAACTACGGTATTCAATGTAACCCGGAGTGTGTTTAGCGAAACAGGACGCTTGTTACATTAAGGTTCGTGACACGTCGCCAGGAAGCGTCTTCGTGACACACGTAACATTACGTAATGCAATAAACGATGCGTCTGGCGCAATATAACCGGCGCTCGTTGAGCTAACGACAGGTCGTGGCGGTCGTGACGCACGGGCCATCGCCGTCCCTAATTGCCAATTTAAAGTAATCAGAGTAAAAGGAGCGAACGTCTGGTCGGTCGTAGCTTTGTGTATGGTGGTGGTGGTCGATGATGGTGGTGGTGGTGGTGATGCGTCGTGATCATTAACGTGGTATCAACTGTCCTGTGTAAATTAATATGAAACGGGTCTTTGAACTCTGTCTCTCGCTCCCTCTCTCTCTTTCGATTCGAAAAAAAATAATAAAAATAAAATAAAAAGTGGAAAGAAGAAAGTGAAACGAGAGCGACGGCCTCGTGATTATTTCGCAAAATTCGAATCGACCGAGCTGTCTCGTTTGTCTCGCGGGTGAACGATCCGAACGTGCTTCGTTCGAAAATCGTTGTCGATATTTAAACAAGGGCTGGAAAACGTTATGACAAATACTCACTGCATCAGCTTTTGGATCCCCAAACTCTGCAGAACCGTTGGTAATGAAGGGAGAGAGTAGCAGAGCGACAGCTCGATGCGGGGATAATAAAGAGTGGACACCAGGCAAGTTTCTTCCCTCGTTGTCAGACCACCGAGCGTGATTGCTTGCCTCGATTTGGACGAGTACGTGCATTCGGCCACCAAATGATCGCCCTGAAACGAAAATATCGTCGAATCACGATAGTATAAATCAAGATTATCGACGTATTATCTATTTTTAACTTTGACAAATGACGAAGACGAATTATTGACGTGTCATCCCTATCTTGAAGATTCATCTCCAAAAATACACGAAACACATCGCTAAACTGAATTACTCGATCACGATTTCCGATTCGATTGCTGAAAGAAACGACAATTTCATCGTACTCGATCAAAATTTCTTCAGTTTAAATCAAGACGTAGTCCGATTTCCATATCAAAAGGGAATCACAGTAGTATAAATCAAGATTACCGCGGTATCTGTTATTAACTTCGACAAATTAAAGACGAATTATTGTATCATCCCAATCCCGAAGATTCGTCTCCAAAAATACACGAAACACATGGCTAAAGTAAATTACTCGATCGACAATTTCCCTCGTTTAACACGTTCATCGTCCAGCGTGATTTCGTTGAGTTCTTCACGGGGCCCAAATGTTACTATCGGAAGGCCGTAAACGGAAATAATTTTAATATTTTTATTTTAATATAACATTTACTTGGGATATATTTATATATATATATTACTTCTTCATTAACTAATTCTGTAACACTGATTCCGAATTAATTGTTTTCAGTGCCTCTACTTCTTCGCTCTCTACTTCCTTCGTTTCCAAAGTCAATTTTCAAGTATAAGGAGGCAATATCGACTCACCGGATAGACCCTGACAGGCTTCTGCAGCTTCCTATACTCCTGATAGCTAGGATCGTAATTGGTGTCAGAGGCAATGGGTGGCAGCTCCTCGCCCGATCTTATCTGCCGCAATCGGACCTTCCTCCCCAGTTGATGCGTATGCATGATGACGGCGAATATGTTGATGCCGCTGTTCGGTATCGTGTGCCCGGTGCAGTCCGAGATGCAGTGACCCTCGGACACCACCTCCGCTTGGCCTGGCGGTATGATGTGCCTCCAGTTGGGGTCGATGCCGACGCTCAGGATGCCGGCGTCGTGGGTGCGCAACTTGTCCGTGTAATGCAAACGCAAACCGGAACTGTCGCTTATGAACGCGTCCATCTGAGGATTGGCGTAGTGGGTCTCGAGCATGTAGTAGCGCGGACCGGTGTGCGGATCCAGCGCGTAACCGGCCTCGGCCGGGTAATTGAACCCCTGCGAGAAGAAGAAGCGTGGCGAACCGCGCTCGATTATGCGCCCCGTTGGAAACGGACGATTCGGGATCGTCCGGGTTTATGGACGGTCGTTCGGGTTCGTGTCGGGTACAAATGGTTATTTTTCACGCTGTTTCTTGTTTCGGCCGATTCGCTCGATGAATTATTGTCCTCGAAGCGGAATTCTTTTGCCGCTCGTATTTTTACGGCTGCTGTCGAGGATTTTTCGAACGGATGAAGGGGAACATTCGAGTCGATGATTTCTATTTAAATTTTGCACGATCGATATTATTATTTTCGGTGTAATGATTTAAGAAAAGAAAAAAGGAAAAGAAAAGTCTAGGAAATTTTTAGGGAATAATCAATTATCTCGTACGCGTTATTATTTATTTACATCGTGGAAGAATGTGTATTATAAAGTGGAATAAGCGCAGGTGGTTTAATTGCACGTATAAATCATTGGAGATATAATCAAGATCACCGGCCAGGATAATTACACGGTGGATAAATCAGTGTCCACGAATGTTAATCCGACGTCATCTTGGGACGAGCGTAAGAGAGACACACGGTGGTGGGATGCGGGTATATATCGCGGTAATTCCGGGTTTTGTGCAATGCATACCAATGCGGAGGGGGGCGAGAGAGAGAGAGAGGGACCGGCCACGAACTCGTTTCTTCGTGGTCGCTGGTAACACGAACACTCTGCGAAGATGCGACCGATCGCGGGGACACTCGGTTAATCTCACACGCGACGTCGTGTCACGATTTAATTGCTAGTACATGCGAAACCACTTCTGTCCACGTGGAATAATTCAAAAGAAAAGAAAAAAAAAAAAAAAGAAAAAGAAAGAAGGAAAAGAATTACAGGAATAAATGAATAAAATTAAAACCGACTTGAAACGATATTCTCCACGCGAGAATTACAGATATCGTGTATTTCGAATTTATTTGATAAATTTCAATCAATCCCGCTTCAACGTCCGACCAGAGATCGAACCAATTTTTGCCCTCGAAATTTATTTTTCGACGCCCCCTCCCCTGCCCTCCTCCCTCTCCCCGAAGGGGAAGTTTGTTTAATTCTTAATTTACATTTAAATGTGTCACGTAGCATACCTCAGAGCCCAGACTCCAGATAGCGGCGATTGTATTACATTGAAGAGACGGCTGATTGGACTGATAGCAAACACTGCCTGACGTCTTCGCCGCGGATTCCAATTGCCCCTGATCCCCACGACACTCGTACAAAGTCATGTGATGCAGGTAATCGTGACTTCCGGGTTGTATCACAGGCTCGTGCTGAAAAAGGGACGAGTCACAACGGCGTTACATCCGACGTTTGTCAGACGAATAAATGGAAAAAGGGGGAAAAAAAAAGGGAGCCGCTGTCTCGTTGTAAGAACTTAATTCGTTGTCTTCGATGAAAATCAGAGATCTTTCGACGTGCCTTTGAATCGATATGAATCGCAACGTTCGAAAGAATGTTAACCCACGTGTTCGTTATTACGACGAGTATGCATCTTGATGAATTGCGAGTAGAAGAGAATTGTTCTCTGAAATTTCGTTAGAGAATTTGCAACGTAATCGCGTTGCAACGACCGACGCACAAATATCGTATGATATCACGATTACAGGGAAATATTCTCGCCTCTGTTTTCGCTATTTATTTTTTTAAAATATCGGATCGATCGAATAATCGAGGATTATCGGATATCTCGGATTTCGTTCCACGATCGAATTGGATGTAAAGGAAAAATTGCGAATTAAATTAACGCGATAATTTAACGTGTTACATAAATATGTGGGGCGTGAGGATGAATTTAAATTAGATCTCGAAATACCTTCCACCTGAATCCTTCCCGAAATCGACTCGCGGTTATACAGATTTATACAGATCGACTGTCACACGTCTCTCGCTCGATCGCTCGTTTAAAATATATATATACATGTAATATATAGGCCGAAACCACGAGACGTGTATTTCCAATTTTGACGCATCGCGGCCGAGAATAGAGATCAAATTCGTCGAATGATTCCGCCCGAGACGGGAACTATCTAAAGATTGAACGAATTGAAACGAGAAAAGAGGCTGCGTTTAAAAATTCTAATAAATTTCCCTCTTTTCCGAAAGGGTATTTTCGCCGTTTCTGCCATTGGTTGGTCGTAATGCGAGGCGAGATTAAGGGTAAATCGAGGGGGATGAAACGATCGTTCTCTGAATCTTGATAAGAAATTCGCGAGAATTTCCACGAGCCGACAAACCGAGAGATATCCGCCCGATGCTTGACAGCTCCCATGTCGACGGGAATCTGTTCGTACGTTCCAGGTTTAATCAAGTTTAGATGGGTTAGGGATGCGTAAGACGCGGCGTGGGAGGGCTTGCTGGTAGTAAGTAGGTTATAGTTGGGGAGGTGAACTTACCTTCACGACGTGGTGTTTGTGATCAATGTTTGGCATCCTAAGAACGCGGCACCAAAGCAACGTGTCTTGTCCCTTGGGTAAGCGTACCTGCAAAGTAATTCGAGGACGATGGTTGGTTAAACGAGCTTAATTCCGCGAGTTGTTTCCAAGACTGGAAAACTTTTACGATAAATTAACTCTAGATACTTTTTCTTCTCTTTTCTCCTCCGTTTAAACTCCACGTTTTAACAAGAAAACTACGTACGATTATTATTGTTTTAAATGGCTAGTTCGATCCAGATTAACCCATCTTTCTGACAGTGTAGACAATAATACTTACAATTCGAAAAGTTAAAAGTAATCCGGATCGGATTTATATTTTGGGTCGTATTTTGGGCGAATTTTTCGAAATTTCGGTTCGAAATATAAAAGGAAGAAAGATACGGTTTAAAAAAATGGAAATCGAATGTAAGAGATCGATAGAATCTGCATAAAGCGGTCCAAAAAAAAAAGAAGATGGATTTGCCTCCCTCTTGCTCAACAAAATTCTCAATTTCAATCAACCCCGATAAAAACAGTTATATCTATTCAGTTATAACTGAAACAGATGATCGCATACACGATACGAGGAAGAGTGGAAACGAATCGAGATTGGACAAGGATGGATGGACGTTGTTAGCCGTACACGCACGAGTTAATACTTTCTCAAAACTTCTCAAATGTTAACGCTCTGAGTGGCACACAATACGGCCGAAAGCTCGTCCTCCATGCTGCGCGAAACTGATAGGGAACGGTACGGATCTGACTGTACTCCCGTTAATGGAGTAACGTGGTATTTAGCGAGGTACAACGGTTGCCATCCCCGGACAGCCAGCCTGCAAACTGTTTTTCTAATTGCAACTATCTTCGACCGAGTTTCCCCCGTATCGCTATTCGCGTGACGAAGTTAATCCCGGCCGACGATTTCAGCTGCATGGGACGTGTTCGTCCCCGGCGAAACGAGCGAAATCATCACTGTTTTTGACAATTCTGCACAGACGAAGTCCCCTTCGAAACGAACGAATTTGAAAATTGCGAAATTATTCCATATAAGATGTTCGATTCGACGAGATGAATGTATTTACGGAAAATATTAATTTATTTCTGAGAAGAAAATAAATATAAAATTGGAACGGAGATGAATAAAAGCTTCGTTTTCCTTTTTTTAAAGAAAAAAATCTTATCTATCCTAATTGAATTTTTGGGAGAATTACAATTGCGGAGATTGAAAGGAAATGGGATTTAAATTACAAATTCTTCCAAGCTTTTTTAAAAAAAAAATAACTTATCGTCGTTTTCAACGGTCAAGCTTCCATCACAAAAGGGATTCTCAAAGCATATATTACGACGGATATTTGACGCGAATTTCCAACCGCTGGCGAGGATCGCAAAGAGCGTATCGAACAAATTTAATCTTCGCCCTCGATATTTTATGTTGCCGAGGACGATTCCTTCTCCGCGTGATTACGAGCGAGAGGGGCGTCTTAAAACCGGGATCCGAGAGAAAAATCCTCGTCGAAGCGAGAGCGCGTTCCACGCCGAAAAAGATGTGGAAGAAAAGAAAAGAAATCGGAAACGAAAGGTTGGAGCCGCGGGGTACACGCGCGATCCCGAGAGAAAATTGCGATTCTTTTTTTCGCGAGCCCGCCTCCGGCTTCTCCCACGCGTTTCTCCGAAATTATCGATGTCAAGATTACCGGGAAGGACGACTCTTACGTTTATTGTTTTGCTCTCGAATATGGTGAACGCCCGCCCCGGGCACGGCCAACATTTGGCCCCGTGTTTACGATTCTTGCCTGTGTTTCCCGCCGAACGATTTCCGACCAGTCGACTTCGACACGATGATCTCGACACACGCGGTAGGAATAGGATACGACGTGATCGTTTCGATACGCGAGGATAGGCTGCGAAATTGCATACCGAAGAGTTGGTGTGAGGGAATTTCGCGAGAGGGAAGATAGCCACTTTTCGAGTATTTTAGTTTAAAGTGGTCGGAGTGCAGTGAATTGTAAATGAATTTGGTGTTTTGGTTCATCGAAATTTCGATGATACGAAGGATTCAGACGATTCTAATTCTATTCTTCAATGAATAAATATATCCGTTCCTCGTGTAAAATATTTCATACGTAGATAGAATATCAAACGAATTCCAACTTTTTCCTCCTCGCGTTTAATTCACTTTGATAAAATGCTGGATGGGAAACGTTGTTAAAGACACGTAAACGAATCCACTGGATAAGCTCGGTTTATGAATCAAATGCGCATAAAGGGGTGAGCGATTCATGACACGTCTCATCCTTGGCCGCTTTTTCTCCCCCCTCTCCGTTTCCGTGAATTTCTTGGAAAGTGAGGAGAGACGATAATTATCCCCGCCGCGTGCTATGCGCGTTTCAAATGGGTGGCTTCCTTTGAACGTTGGCCCGCATAAAAACGCGTTTTACGTTACCCGGCCGAGGCCACGCTCGCGTTTCGCCCTTTTCTCATCGCGGCGCCAACTTTTTTCCCCCCCTTCCTCCTCCTTCCATTCACACTCCTATAAATAACTAATAAGGAATCCCTCTCTCGAAATCTCTGATATCTGATATCTCTGATGCGGAGGAGGAATTAGTGCGCGTGAAAGAGGCCCGTTGAAAAGTTGTTGTGGAATGGAATGGAAGGAATAAGAAGAGAGAGAGAGAGAGAGAGAGAGAGAAAAGAAGCAGAGGGCTAGCGTGGAAGCGTGTCTGGAAGCTTAGACAGCGGAGATATATAACAGAGAGAAATTCAAGCAGGATGGAATCCTGTGAAATAACTATATCGAGAATGAAGAATGATGGCGTGTCCTTTCACCAGCCACGTTTTGCCCGCGCTATGATTGATGACGAATGCCATCGCTAATGAACTTGGTGGTTCGTGGAAACTGGCGCGTTTCTTGCGAACGTAAACTGAAATTTCTCCGGTTAACCGTGGGAGGAAAGGTTCATTCGTATGCGATATTCGTGGATTCGCTATAAGTGGGATAGAAAATTATAGAAGGAGTGAAAATTGAATGGAAGAAGGAAAGGTTTCGGTTTTTTCGCAATTCGATGATTTTGGATAAATCGCGAAATGAATCGCGTGAACGTGCATTAATTTTCCAAACAATTTATCCAACGAGTAGTAGAAATCCTTCATTTGCAACTTGATAGATCCGCTCGAGAACCAATAAGAATTATCTCGTCCTTAAATTTTCTGCCTACCATCTCTCGTGTACACTGCTTCGCCACTAAAAATACGAAATAATCCCACGGTGTCGTGATAATGGTATGCAAACGATGTTTGGGGAGAGGAAAAAGGAGACAGGATGCGGTATTATATAAATTCACGAGGCAACAAGGGTGACGATGAGGCGCGAAAACGGCATCCGCCCGAGGCAAATTTGGCGCTCTCTCGTCGGCGAAGTTTCCCTTTCGACTCGAGAGTGAGCCGCGAAAAAAGTATCGCCGGAGAAAGGGTGGTTGGTCCGGAATGAATGCGAAATCCGTTCTAACAAGCTGCCCTTCTCTCTCTCTCTCTCTCTCTCTCTCTTCTTCTCTCTCTCTCT